CATCACTAGCTACCCATTTGCCTCATCTTTAGGTAATTTGTGGATACCATCCCAATAGAACTTTTCTTGTTTTGAGGCAAACCATTCAGAGACCCAATTTTCCACTTCTTTGTGTGTGTGTGTGTGTGTGTGTGTGTGTGTGTATATATATATATATAATTTAAAAAATATATATCTTGTTGATTTTTTTTACAGAGAGGAAGGGAGCAAGATAGTTAGAAACATCAATTAGCTGCCTCCTGCACACCCCCTACTGGGGATGTACCCACAACCAAGGTACATGCCCCTGACTGGAATTGAACCTGGGACCTGGGACCTTTCAGTCCACAGGCTGACGCTCTATCCACTGAGCCAAACTGGTTTCAGCTCTTTGTATGTTTTGAAGTGCTGCTCAGAAAGTGCCTGTGCCATCTATCGGAACAAGTGGTAATCTGAAGGAGCAAGGTCTGGTGAATATGGTGATGGATTAACACTTCCTAGGCAAGATCTTTTAACGTGTCTTTAACTGGTTTTGAAGTGTGTGATGGTGCGTTATCATGAAGCAAAATTATTTTGCCGTGTCTTCTGGAATATTCTGATCATTTCACAATCAAAGCGTGGTTCAAATTGATTATTTGTTGCCGGTAGTGATCATTATTAATGGTTTCATCGGGGTTTAGAAGCTCATAATACATCACACCTTCCTGATCCCACCAAACGCAGAGTATTGTCTTCTTTCTGAAGCAATTTGGCCTTGTCTTGCAATTGATGTTGATAGTTGACCTGGATCAATCCATGATTTTGTGCATTTGGGATTCTCAAAATAAATCCACTTTCATTGCCAGTCACAATTCAATGCAAAAAAGATTTTTGTGCCATTGAAGCAACATTTTACTGATGACTTTTTGATTTTCCACTTGTCTTTCATTCAGTTGATGTGGCACCCATTTTCCGTTCTTTAAAATCTTTCCCATTGGGATGGGGAGGGTACCTGGTGGAGGGGGGAAGAAATGAGGAACCTTTGTAACAATATGAACAATAAAGATTGATTAAAAAAAAAAATAAAAAATAAAATAAAATCTTTCCCATTGCTGGTAAATGATCAAAAATTGTTTGCTGAGCAAGGTTTAATCTTTCTGCAAATTGTTTTTGAGTTTGACATGTATCTTTATCCAATTATGTTTGTAATCATTAGTCTTCAAACTTTTTTGGTTGACCTGGACGTTCTTTGTCTTTCATATCAAAATCATCACTTTTAAAGCGTTTAAACCAGCGTTCACAAGTATCTTGAGATGAAGCATGTTTACCATAAGCTTCTATAAGTATACAATAACTTTCAGCAGCACTTTTCTTCAAAATAAAGTAATGAATTAAAACTTCCCACAAATGCTCTTTTTTTGGGCATGAAATTCGACATTTTTAAGCAAAAATATATATGATGTTAACATCTTCCGAAAATTGACATATGAAGTTTTGAAGCTTGTTGTCAATACAACAAAATTGCATACATATCAAATCACATATATATCAACATATGTGTAAATCTATTGGAAAAAATCCGCATTATTAACCAGTATACCTAGTATTTATCTGATAGAGAGTTATTATAATATCCAAAATATATAAGGAACTCATGCAACTTAACAAAAGGAAGACAAACAATCCAATTTAAAAATGGGCAAGGGACCTAAATAGATACTACTTCAAAGTGGACATACTGATGGCCAAGAGACATATGAAAAAATGCTCAAAGTCACTGATCATCAAAGAGATGCAAATTAAAATGACAATGAGGTATCAGCTCACATCTGTCAGGATGGCTACCTTTAAGAAAGCAACAAATGACAAGTGCTGGCAAGGATGTGGTGAAAGGGAACCCTTGTACACTGCTGGTGGGATTGCAGACTGGTGCAACCATTATGGAAAACAGTATGGAGTTACGTCAAAAAATTAAATATGATGGGGGGATAAAGACACATTTGTAATACCTTAATCAATAAAAAAATACATAATAAAAATATTAAAGAAAACCTAAATATGGAACTGCCATTTGACCCAGTGATCCCATCTCTAGTTATATATATCCTGTGAAACCCGAAGCAGAAGGAATGTATGCACCCTATGTTCATAGCAGCACAATTTACAAAAGTTAAGATCTGGAAACAGCCCAAGTGCCCATCAGTGGATGAGTGGATAAAAACGCTGTGGGACATTTATGCCATGGAATCCTATGCAGTAGTAAAAAAGAAGAATCTCTTACCCTTTGAGACAGCATGGAGGGACCTAGAGAATATCAAGCTAAGTGAAATAAGCCAGAGAAAGACAAGTATCACATGATCTCACTCATATGTGAAATCTAATTAATGAAATAAACTGATGAATGGAGCAGATTCAGAGATATGGAAGCATGGAACAGAGTGAAGGATCTCAGCGGGAAGGTGGGGGAGGGAGGATGGGTGGGAAGTAATCAACCAAAAACCTTGTATGCATATATGCACAACCCATGGACACAGACAACCAGGGTGCTGAAGGCCTGGGGTGAGGGGCGGGGGGCAGACTGGAGGGGTCAATAAGGGAAGAAAGGGGACATATAACAATAAAGAATTACTTAAAAACAAAAAACAAAGATAAAAAAAACCCCCACATTGCTATGAAAGTTGTCTGAGATTTTGCTGTCTGTGGATTCTTCTAAGATTTTTACGGTTTCACATCTTACAACCAAGTCTTTTATTCACTTTTGAGTTTATTCTTATATATAGTGTAAAATGGCAGTGAAATTTCATTTTTTTTTTGCATGTATCTGTCCAATTTTCCCAACACTGTGTATTGAAGAGACTGTCTTGACACATTATATACTCTTGTCTCCTTTGTCAAATATTAATTGAGCATAATGGCTTGGGTCGATTTGTGTTCTCTGTTCTATTCCATTGGTCTATATGCCTATTCTTATACCAAAACCAAGCTGTTTTGAATACAGTGGCTTTGTAGTGTAACTTGATATCTGGTGTTGTGATTCCTCCAACTTTGTTCTTCTTTCTCAAGATTGCTATGGCTATTTGGGGTCCTTTTTTTTTGGTTCCATATAAATTTTTGGAGAGTTTGTTCTAGGTCTGTAAAATATGCTCTTGATATTTTAATAAGGATTGCATTAAATCTATAGATTGTTTTGGGTAGTATGGACATGTTAATGGTGTTGATTCTACCAATCCATGAACTTGGTATATTCTTCCACTTGTTTATATCTTACTATCTGTTTTTTTCAATGACCTGTAGTTTTCCAAGTCTAGGTCTTTTACCTCCTTGGTTAAGTTTTTTCCAAGGTATCTTAATTTTTGTTGTTGCAATGGTAAATGGAATTGTTTAGTTTCTCTTTCTGTGAGTTCATTATCGGTGTATAAAAATGCCATAGATTTCTGGGTGTTAATTTTGTATCCTGCTAGTTGCCAAATTCACTTATTAAACCTAGTAGTTTTTTGAAGTCTTTAGGGTTTTCTATGTATAACAACACGTCATCTGAATAATCACAGTTTTACTTCCTTTTCTCCAGTTTGGATGCCTTTTATTTCTTCTTGTCTGATTGCTATGGCTAGCACTTCCAGTACTATGTAAAACATGAGTGGTGAAAGGGGGATTCCTATTCTTAGGGAAATGGTTTGTTTCTGCCCAGTGAGTACGATGTTGCAGTAGGTTTGTCATATGATTTTTATCATGTTGAGGTATGAGTCCCCTGTTCCCACTTTATTGAGAGTTTTTACCAAAAAAGGGTGTTGGATTTTGTCGAATGCTTTTTCTGAATCAATTGATATGATCATATGATTTTTGTTTTGCAATTTTTTAATGTGGTTTCACATTTATTAATTTGCAGCTATTGTACCAGCCTTGCAGCCCTGAAGTAAATCCCCTTGGTCATGGTGTATGCTCTTTTTAATGATTTGCTAATATTTTGTTGAGGATTTTAGCATAAATGTTCTTCTGGGATATTGGCCTGTAATTCTTTCTTTGTAGTCTCTTTATCTGGTTTTGGAATTAGGATAATGCTGGCCTCTTAGAAAGAGCATGGAAGTATTCCTTCCTCTTGAATATTTTTGGAATAGTTTTGAGTATAGGTGCTAGTTTGCCTTTGAATGTTTGGTAAACTCTGTGAAGCTGTCCGGACCAGGGCTTTTTTTTTTTTTTTTTTTTTTAATATATTTTATTGATTTTGTACAGAGAGGAAGGGAGAGAGATAGAGAGTTAGAAACATCGATGAGAGAGAGTCATCGATCAGCTGCCCCCTGCACAACCCCTACTGGGGATATGCCCGCAACCAAGGTACATGCCCTTGACCTGAATCGAACCCGGGGCCCTTCAGTCCCCAAGCCGACGCTCTATCCATTGAGCCAAACCGGTCTCAGCCGGACCAGGGCTTTTGTTTGCTGGATGTTTTTTAAAAAAATTTTATTACTGCATCAATTTCATAAGTAGTTATTGGCCTATTCAGGTTTTCTGATTCTTCCTGATTGAGTTTTAGAAGATTGTATTTTTTAAGGAACATATCCATTTCATAAACAAGATTTATGAACCTCCAGCCAGACTCACCAAGAAACATAGAGGACTCAAATAAACAAAATCAAAAATGAAAGAGGTGAAGTAACAGCTGACCCCACATAAATACAAGGGATCATAAAAAAATACTATAAAGAACTCTATTCTAACAAATTGGACAACCTTAATGAAGTGGACATATTCCTAGAAAAATACAATCTTCCAAAACTCAAATCAGGAAGAGTCCATTGATTTTTAGAGAGTGTGAAACGAAGGAGGGGAGGGACATTGATGTGACAGAGACACATCATTTGGTTGCTTCCAGACGAACCCTGACTGGGCCGGGATCGAGCCTGCAACTGAGGTATGTGCCCTAGACTGGTATTGAACCTGGGATTCTTCAGTCTATGGGCCAAACTGGTTAGGACTCCCCTTTTCTCTTGTTCTCATAGCCACATCCCGTTTACCCTAGGAGAGAACTGAAGCCACACAAGGAATGTGAAACACCATTTATTTTTTGTGGAAAGGTTGAACAAGGTAAAAAATATCCTTAAAGGGCACTGACCCAGCCCCGCCCTGCAGGTTCCTGGGGTCAATGCCTCTGCCCCCCCCACCCCAAACCCTCCCCATGCCCCTTGTTAACAAAAAGGAACGATTTGAAGGGAATTCATATATAATAATTATAATAAAAATATACATTAAACAAAACAAAAAACCCAAACAAGACAAATTTAGCCGAACTGCCAGCACCGTTCATCCCATTCCCCCCCAACCCCCCCCCCCAATGCCCCACCCCTGACATCCCTCTCTTTTCACTCCCGAAGGGTCTCTCACTTTCTCAAGTCCCCAGTACCATGACCACCTTCGGTGGCTGAAGGAGACTTCAAATGGATGGGCTGGGGAAGGGGGCGGGATGAGGGGAGGGCGGGACACAGAAAGGATGGGCAGAGGGGTGGGGGCACCAGGAAGTGATGAGGTAACCTGACCAAGAAACAAGAAATGCTCAGGCATCTGCTCTCTCTGAGGCCTGCTGACTCGGTGCTCCTACCGCTGGGAGCTCTCTGCTCTCTAACTAGGTAGCTACTCTCTCCAAGGGCCAGCTGCCAGTCCCCAGACGTGCCATCTCTGCTCCTTTTCCTGGGCTCCTTCCCCTTCCCCTCTGTGCTCTCCGGTCAGAGGGAAGGCACGAGGCGGAGCAGGTGTGCCTTTCGTGGGCTCCTCCTCCAGCTCCGGTAAAACGTGCCTCCCCCAGGTGCGTCCACCCTGTGCGTCCCTAACGGCTTAGCCTGCTCCACCTCCAGCGCGTCACCTCCCGCTGTCCACTCCCGCTGAACCTCCTTTTGGTCCCTCTTATCCCCTCTGACTGCTCGGCCCCTGGCACCTGCAAGGTCCTTTCTCCGTGGCCTTGAGGCTCACCCCCAGGGCTCTGGACCGAGTCTCTTCCTACAGAGACACACCCCGTATCTGCACTCCCAGGCCTCAGCTCTTCCAACCTCGACATCCTCGTCCAAGGCTAACATTTGGGAGGGTAGGGCTGTCGGGGGTTTCTGCAGCCTCAGTTACCTCCTTAATGGCTCAGGCTCCTTCCATGAAGTTCTTGGGGAGCAGAATGAGGGGGAGAGGCAGAGCTTTCTGAAGAAGACTGATCCTCTCTGAACCTTCCTCCCCAGGTCTTACAAGGTGGCAATGTGGCCCCCATCTCCTCACCCTCTCGCAGGGTCTCCCCCCACAAAAGAAGAGTGGTGGGAGGCTGCCAACTGGGTACACTTGGGGGGCCTGCCGGGGCTGCAGTGCCCAGAGCCTCCTGAGGTCAGAGTTCAGAGGTTGAAGGTATGTCAGGGAATGGAAAGGAGCAGGTGACCCCATTTGACCTTTACCAGTGAGGTCTGAGGGTCCTGCCTTCAAGTGCAGAGCCAAGACATTCAGACGGGGCTGGACACATGCCAGGCTACAGGGGCCGTGGAGGGGCAGGGGCCGGAAGGGGTGGCCCCTGTTCAGCCCCCAGGGGACCGGTCTAGAGAAGAAGCAATGCCAGGGTTGAGGTGGGAGGGGCCTGCTGTGGAACAGAGGAGGGAGGCAGGGTGGGGGGAGAGCTTGGAGCGGGTGGGAGCAGCCCACCCACCACCATCTGCTGCCACTCGCCCTCAGAGGCCAAGTCCACGTGGTAGGAGTGGGTGGGCAGCGGTGGGGGTCAGACCTTGTCCAGCAGGGACCGCTGGCAGTAGAGCAGCCGCTTGGGGGTCCCGTGGCGCCGGAAGAAGAAGACAGCGAGGCCCACGGCCAGCACCAGCAGCAGCAGCAGCACAGGCAGCACCACCGCGGCCGCGCTCACCGCCCCACCGCCATCCTCGTCCACCTCGATGATGATCACCTCCGTCTCCTCCTCAGTCCCCCCGTCCGGCCGGCCCTCCGACGGGCAGCCCATCCAGTCCCGCAGGGCGGACTTGGGGTAGCCCGGCTCCACTTTCAGCTTCTGGTTGTTGAATTTCCAGTACTTGTTCCCCTTGTAGAAGTACGTGAAGACTGCAGGGGCAGCGGGAAGGTGGCCGAGAGGACACGGGTGGGCGGCACCCAGGAGACCAGGAGGGAAGAGCAGAAAGGAGACCCGTCAGGGTGGGGCTGGCTGAGTCCACCTCCCACCTCTCCTCACAGCAGTTTCCTCAGCTGGAAACGGGGTGATTCTAGCACCAGGTGGGAGGAGTGGTGGGCGCTATGGGGAAGCATGAGCCCAGTGACTGGCCCACGGCAAAGAAGAGGAGGACTGAAAAGTGGGAGCAGTCATTATCCCTGTCATCATCATTGTCATTATCTCCCCACAATGCCCTCCATCTTTCTTCTTCCTCTCTCTTAACCCGTTGTTCCGATCCTCCCCGCACAGACACGGCCCATGCCCTTCTCACCTTCGTCGCTGCCCATGAAGGACCCTCTGGGAGCCTCGGGAATGCCTTCCCAGATCTTGATGTTCTGGGGGTAGTCGTTCTCCACCGTCCTGAGCTCCTCGTTGAAGCGGTAGTACCTGGTGCAGAGGACAGGAAGGAAGTGGTGGACACGGGGCCCTTCCTCAGAGGGCAGCAGGACCCGGGACCGAGTCCACCAGTGAGGTAAGGGTGGTTGTGGCCAGGGGTTTGGGTAATGAGGGCCTGCAGCTGGAAGCAGCGGAAGGTGGGGGTGGGAGGGAGGGCCAGGCTGCAAGGAGCCACCGGCGGCCCTTAATGACAGTGCGAGGCCGCCGGAGCGGAGGCCTGGTGCCGGGGCAGGAGGCGTCAAATGACCAGGTCTGCAACGGTGACCCGGTCACTTCCCACTCACTCGGCCCCCAGTGGAGGCTGCTCATCGCTAGGCAACCACAGAGGCTCAGCCAGCTCCTTCTCCAGGGAAACCGCCCAGGCACAGAGTGGGTCTCCCTCCAGGACTGAAGGGATCTGGTAGCTGAGGACGCAGGCCTGGGGCCCAGGGGTTAAGGTAGGGGTGTCGAACTCTATCAGAGAAGGGGCCAAAATCTAAAATCCAGCCTAAATCGCGGGCCGAATGGTTTACTGAACAGTCATAAACTGTCATTGTGATGGAAATGCAGCGGAGTGCAGTGATGACAGCGCGGTGCGGGCCACATTGCAAGGCCTGGCGGGGCGGATTTGGCCTGCGGGCCTTGTGTTTGACACATGTGGGTTAAGGTCTTACTTGTTTCCCCGGAAGAAGTAGGTCTTCCCATTGGGTACCCAGAAGATGGCGGCATCAATCCTGTCGGCAGGCAGCCCTCGGCCCAGCTCCTTAAGGGGCTTGGGGTAGCCAGGCTCCAGGGAAGCTTCGTCAAACACCCAGTGCCTGTCTCCTGGGGAGACAGAGGGCAGGATGGAGGCTCCACTCGGTTTCCAGGGTCCGTGGAGGAGTCAAGTGGCATCTGCCCACCCAGGGGGACTCCCCGCACACTCAGAGACTAAGTAAGGCCTGGTTACCTTTGAAGAAGACAAACTTGCCATCCTTCCTCTCGTAGGCAGTGTTGATGGATGCAGGCAGGCCCCGCCAGAACTGGCCGATGGGCATGGGGTACCCGTCCATCACTTGGTTGTTTCTCACTCGCCAGAACCAGCGCTCCTGGGAGGCAGTCGATGTAAGAGCTCATGATGTCTTGTCACTTATCCTCTGATCCAGTTCCCAAAGCTCCCCCCCCCCCCCCCCCGCCTTAGTTTTTAGTCCTCCTGCTGCCATTTGTCACGGAGCCCTTGTGTCCTCCAAACCAGCCACACCCTCCTCTCACCTTGAAGACAAACATCTCCCCTCGGAGCACAGCCACGGTGTCAAAGTTCCCGTCGCAGATGTTGGGCCCGAAGGTGGGGTTTTTGGGCTTATCAGGGAAAGAGGGCCGGGCGGTGGTCCTGGGCGGAGGGGGCATCTTGGTGGGGCCCGACTTACTCCCTGGGGGCGGAGAACAGGGGGGCACTTCAGACTTGGCGGCAGAGGGAGGGGAAAGGACAGGCATGAGGGCAGACAACACTCTCGGGAAGGGGAGAGAGGCCGAGGCAATCAGCTGAGAAAGGACAGAAGAGGGGGACTGAGACGTGGGAGCAGACAGAGGCAGCATCAGGAGCGGGTGGTGGGGAGATGGGAAGAGACACGAAGGCCAAGCACACACAGACGAGGGGCAGAGAGGAAGGAGCAGAGGCGGGCACAGGTCACTCGCCGTAGAGCTGCTGGATGCCCCGGCGGTCGTCGTCGGGCAGCACGAAGTTCTCCGTGTCCATCCACTGGTAGAAGGGGGCCATGATGGCCGAGGGGTCGCTGGAGTGCTCGAGGCCCAGGGCGTGGCCCAGCTCGTGCACGGCCACCAGGAAGATGTCGTTCCCTGGAGGGAGGAGAGAGGTTAGGATGCCAGCCTGGGTCCCGCCCTGCAGGCTTCCGGCCTTCCCGTCAGAGGCGTTAGCGTCACACCCAGCCTGCCTCACCAAAGCCACCAACCCACCATGCTCTTCTGGGAGGAGGTGAGCAGGCTCGGGGACTAGATCCCGAGCCCACGAGACTTGCGTGAAGGGAAGCTGAGGTCTCTGTCGGGGCCTTTTCCTCCCAGGGTGACATCTGTCGGGTAAGCGGGTGATGGGGAGACTAGGAAGTCTTTGACCGAGAAGTCAATTATTGGTTGAGAGAAGGAACCACATATAAATAGTTTAAAACTGGATTTCTGCCTTAACCGGTTTGTTTCCGTGGATAGAGCTTCGGCCTGCAGACTGAAGGGTCCCGGGTTTGATTCCAGTCAAGGGCATGTACCTTGGTTGTGGACACACAACCAGTGGGGGTTGTGCAGGAGGCAGCTGATCGATGTTTCTCTCTCGTCGATGTTTCTAGCTCTCTATCCCTCTCTCTTCCTCTCTGTAAAAAAATCATTAAAATATACTAAAAAAACAAACAAACAAAAAAACCACACACAGAAAAAAAACTGGATTCCTGTTTTGTTGGAAGTCAGACCTGGAGATTTTTGCAGTCCCCTGTGGCCCTGCGATTTGGGGGTTTGAGGTTTTGGGGGGAGGTAGGAGAACCCTGTCCCGATGATCATTGAATAAGAGTCCCAGGGCTCACCATTCAGATCCTGATTCTCCACAGTCCAGGGCTCCGCAGAGTCAAAGTGGGTGTCGCCTCCGATGTTGGGGCCTGGGAAGTAGGCGTGTGCCAGGAAGCCACCCTCGCCGTCAAAGGGCGTGCTGTCGCCGTGGAAGCCCTCGGCAAACATGATCATGATGTCGGCGTGCTGGTGGCCGTTCTCAATGTAGGAATAGGGGATCTCTCGGAAGCGCAGCGGCGTGTGGCTCTCCCACACGCGGAACGCCTTGCGGATGGCCTCGTATGTGCGGTACTCGCCCACTTTGGGGGTGTAGTTCTGGATGCTGAGGTCCGGCCACGTGGGGAGAGGATGAGAGTTATGTTAGGATTACAAGGGACAACATTCTCCTTCCCAGTCCTCTCCCAAGTCTGAGTGAACTTGCTCAGCCACCACCTTTGCCACCTCAGGGTGCCTTTGCCTCAAGTACTGAGAGCTCTGGGGCCCTCAGGCTTTAGCTTTGTGGCCTGGGGTGTACCCCTTCTCCCTTACAGGCTGTATCTCTCTCAGGGTGACAGCGTTTTTTCTCCCCACGTCCAAGGATGCATCCCAGGAAGAGGCGAGTGTGGCAAGACGCCTCTGAGTCTCTAAGCACAACTGACAGGGAAGGGGAACCTGGTGTGAGGAAGGCCACTGGCCTGGTAGACTCACCAGAAAGTGATCTCGTTATGCGGCCATTTGGGGCCCTGGATGGCGTAGCGCTTCCTTCGAACGTTGGCCTTGATCTCAGCCCCAAACTTGTCTGGAACACCACAGCGGGGGCGCTTCATGGCCCTGGGGTGGTTGAAGTGTGAAGACGGGTCAGTATAGCGCGTGAAAGAGCAAGGTCTTTGGAGGACAGGGCGACTATCTGGCCCCAGGGTCGGTGTGAGGACGGTCAGGGTAAATAAACAGGCTCAGGATCAGCATGCGGCGATGAGGTAGAGGGGCACGAGTCAGGCGTTCAGGGAGCAGCTTCTAGGGTAGCTCAGGGTTTGGTCAGTGTGTGTCGGGCAGAATCCCTGCCAGGGTCTAGCACTTACTTCATGGTGTCTGGATCTACTTTGCCCGTCACTCGTAGACCGTAGAACTTCTGCATGGCAGCGATGGCAGCTGAGAGTGACTGAGGTAAGCGCTGTGTGTGGGTCCGCAGGTCCCCGGGGGGCAGGTAGCCATACTGCTGCAGCCAGGCCTGCAGGGAGAGGGATGTGGCTTAGCGCATCCCCACCGGCCGGAGGGAAGCCTCCGCCTCCTCCGTCAGCTGGCTCGCACCCCCGCTTGCTTGCTGAGGAAAGGGCAGTGAGCCTCCAGCCTGGCTCTGGCAGTGGGTCTGGAGGAGCTCCAGGGCTGGACCTGAATGCTGGCCCCGGCCCCAGTGTGCCTTGTCCTCTTGGAGCTGCAGGCCTCAGCTCCGGACTTTGGCTGCAGCGGTCTTCCTGGGAACCGAGTTTAACTGAGTTCTCAGGTGTCTTCTCAGGGCAGAGAGGGGAGAGGCTGAGGGCCTCCACTCTGGAGCCCGGCAGGAGGCCCTCATGGGAGGGGGATGCCAAGCCTCCAGGACTCTGATAGCTGAGAATTTTTAAAGAAAGGAGGGCAGAAAAAGAGCCTGGGCTGAGGCTGGCTGCTGACAGGGGAAGCCGGGGCCTCTGCGAGTGGTGAGAAGTGTGATGCAGCCGGAGCCAGGATCCTGCCCCATTTTCCATCCAAACGGCTCCTGACCTAGGTCTTGGGTCTTGGGTCCCGCACTATCCATTTCAGGATCACATAGGGGGAGTGAGGTGGGTTCTTGGTGCCTGTATTTTACTTCAGGTATGTGGTAAATGGTCCATAATTTAACGCTGACATATAAAAGCAGGGATGGGGAACATTTTTTTCTGCCAAGGGCCATTTGAATATTTATAACACTCATTTGAATATTTATAACATTCTTGGGCCATACAAAATGATCAACTTAAAAACTAGCCTGCTATTGCTGGCCAAACATTTAATTAACTCATCCCTAATGTCCAGGCAGGGCCAGACCAAATGAATTCACAGGCTTTTATAACCCTCACCCCTGTGCCTTAAAGTAAAGTTAGATTTTTGGTGTTTGATTGAAAGGACAGCTCTCGCTGGTTTTGCCCAGTGGCTAGAGCGTCACCTTGGACTGAAGTGCCCTGGGTTCGATTCCGATTCTGGTCAAGGGGACATACCTTGTACCTCAGTTGCAGGCTTGATCCTAGGCCCTAATCCCTGGCCCACACATTTGGGAGGCAACCAATCAATGTGTTTCTCTCACATGGATGTTTCTCTCTGTCTCTCCCACTCCTTTCCACTCTCTAAAAAAAGTAAAATAATAATGGAAAAATATCCTTGGGTGAAGATTAACAAAACAAAATCTGTAAAACCTCACTGGAAAAAAAAAAAAAATCAGCCTTTATTGTAAGAACAATGGAATATTTTCCTAAAGCCTGCAAAGTAAAATGAGCCAAATTATATACGGGATATGAAAATACTTGGATTTTCCTACAGGGAGATGCTACCCTGACAGCTGGTCATTGATCCAGTGCTGCTCTCCTAAGCAGTCCAGAGGGGCTGCACGTTGCCTGGGATGGGAGCTTGAGGCTACGGCTGTTAGGTTATTAGGATAAATCTCCATGTGGCCCTTCATTTCGAGGCACACGCCCCACTGATGAAATAGCACTCTTGCACAGGGGCTAGAGGTGATTCAGGAGCAACTGATTGGGGACCTGAGCCTGCAGGGGCAAGAACTGAAATAATGGGCCCAGCTGGTGTGGCTCAGTGGTTGAGCATTGACCTAGGAACCAGGAGGTCATAGTTCAATCCACACGCCCAGGTTGCAGGCTGGATCCCAAGTAGGAGGTACGCAGGAGGCATCATTGATGTTTCTTTTTTTCTTTTTAAAAAAATATATTTTATTAATTTTTCACAGAGAGGAAGAGAGAGAGGAATAGAGAGTTAGAAACATCGATGAGCTGCCTCCTGTGTGCCCGCAACCAAGGTACATGCCCTTGACCGGAATCGAACCCGGAACCCTTCAGTCCGCAGGCTGACGCTCTATCCACTGAGCCAAACCGGTTTCAGCTCTCCCTCTCCCTGCCTCTCTGAAACCAGTAAAAAAATTTAAAAAATAACTTAAAAAAAAAAAAAAAAGGGAGAGAGAGAGAATTGCAACATGGTTTTGGGAAGTGATCCCCCAAGGATGATGGAGGTAGGGCCTGAGATAGGGCCTGAGATGTAAACAACCCACCCTTTCCCCAGCCAATAGGCCTGGCCAGAGTCACCCTAGCACCACCTGCTCTGAGGGCTCCACCTCAGGGGTAGAAGGAGGAGTGAAGTTTAACCCCTGGTCCGCCAGAGGGGAGCAGAGAAAGGTGCTGCCGGCGTGGGCTGCTCTCCAACAGATGAATGCTTGCCTTGACCTGCACTGGCTGATGCCTCAGCCAATGCCTGCAGGAAGCCTGCTGTGGCATACGCCTGAGTGTGCAGGAAACTCTCTGTGCCCTTAGTCTCACCTGTAGGGTGGACACCAGGCTCATGACCTGGGTAGGAGTTCAGTTTTGTGATCTAAGCGGAACTGGAAGTCAGGAGGACTGAGGTCAGGCCTCCTCAACCCCCAGGAAGCCAAGCTGAGGGGAATTCTAGGACTGGATGACGGAAGGGTGGGTGGCAGGCAGTGGGGAGAATCCACAGCCAAGAGCTCTGGGGTAAATCCCTCCGCCTGATGAGTCTTTCAGGAAGGTAGGCAGATGAAAACATCGACGCCCACAACCTCCACCTCACACCCAATAGTTAAAAGTAGAGACTTAGTAAAAAAAAGGGCCATCCCTGGCGTCAAGGGAACTGAAAGGCCTGGAAAGGAGGTGCCCCTGCCCCATTGCTCCATGCCCAGGCTTTCTTCCCTCACAGGGGCCAGCTCTGAGCGAAGCAGGAACCACAGAGACTGGGATTGGAACCACAGAAGAGAGGACTCCTGTGTCTGCGGCTGGGTGGGGGAAGGGCTGAGTGCCAGACAGGGAGGAGAGGGCTGTTCTGAAGCTGGTGCAGGACTACGGAGGCCTGGAGGGCGGAACCGGCTGCCTGAGGCCCGGGCCACCCCAGCCTGGCCTGGAGAGGGAGCAACTATGTTGGGTCAAAGAACTCCGTTGGTTGGCTTCGTCTTGAAAACTGGCTGGTGGACAGTATTCCCCGAGGGGAGTGATTTTCAACCTTTCCCGTCTCATGACACACATAAAAATTTTGTTAAAATTCTGTGGCACACCACAAAATACATGGTATTTTTTGCCGATCTGACAAATAGGTAACATTTGGAACATTCACACTGGACGGCTATTGTTGTGTTGGCTGTTGTCATTTTTTTTTATTTGACAATCAAAGGGAAAGAGGTCAAAGGCCCTGACTAAACAGTCAGGTATTGCACGAGTTTTAAAATTCTTGCGGCACAACAGTGGGCCTCTGCATGCTGCAGGCCAGCTGAAAACTGCTGCCCTAAGGGAAAGTCAAGGGAACCCACCCCACCTTTGGCCTAGGAGTTGAGGGTGTGTGTGTGTGTGTGTGTGTAGCAATCGCTGGCTCTCCAGCAGGCTCTGGATGGGAGCCTCTGGCCTGCTCCTCCCTCCCTCGGCCTCCCACCCCTCCATAGCCCAGAAGCAAATGGTGGTTCTGATACTGGGACTGCCCAGGACCCACGTAAAGCAGAGGCAGGGCTGCTGCCCCTCCAGGAGGGGGCCTAATGGGGCAAGGGGTGGGAGAAGGCAGAGCCTAGGCTCCTATTGTGTTTTGTGTGTGTGTGTGTGTGTTTTTTAAATATATATTTTATTGATTTTTTACAGAGAGAAAGGGAGAGGGATAGAGAGAAACATCGATGAGGGAGAATAATTGATCAGCTGCCTCCTGCACACCTCCCATTGGGGATGCACCCGAAACCAAGGTACATGCCCTTGACTGGAATCAAACCTGACACCTTTTAGTCCACAGGCCGACGCTCTATTCACTGAGCCAAACCGGCCTCGGCAAGGCTCCTATTGTGAAGAGCTCTCCTTTCGGGCCCCAGATGCACACTTCATGCCTGGAAAGCGATGCCTCCTCCTCCTGGCTGGTGCCAGGATTGGCCACGGGGCAGATGTTCACACTCCCCGGGCACCCCCATCCCTACGGCCAGCTTTCCTTTCAGCCTCAGGACAGAGTGTGTTCTCTCTGGGGAGACGTTTCCTCTGGGGATGGAACCCGGGCGCCGGAGAGGTTGAGGAAGCAAGTCCTGATCCCCTCCCCCTCCCGGGGCACTTCCCGGCCCCTCCAGACCGCACCCAGGCACCCAGGCAGGGCTGAGTGGGTTGGGATGTCCCAAAATAAGAAGCTGATCAAATCCGTCTCCCACCTTCACCCCAAAATAAAAGGGAGAGAGAGGAAAAACCTCCTCAGACAACTCCCACGCCACTTCCTCCAGGCCGGGTGGGCCAAAGTCAGTGAATGGGTGTTTGGGGGGGAGGGGGGACCGGAGCCAGTGAAGACCTGTGTGGGCGCCCGGGCCCAGGCCCTCTCCCCACTTCCCCTTGCAACGTGCCCAGTCTCCGTGCAATTAACGCAGAAAAACAATGAACAAAAAAAAAAGGCCTGAAGGCGCGGAGGGAGGGGCGGGGGCGGCGGCGGCCCCCGCTCACAAGGAGAGCTTTGTGTGGACGGAAGGGCGGCCGGGGCGCAGCGCCGGGACCCTCGACGCCGGGGCTCGGGGGCCGCGACCCAGGGGGCCGCCCCGCCGTCCACCCGCGGCCCCACCTGGGCTGATGCGCGGGCGGAGGGCCGTGCCGGGGGCAGCGGGCAGCGGGCAGCGGGGGACCGGGGCGATCGTCCCGCCGGGCCCCCGGCCTCCCCCGCGCGGGCAGCGCGGGCAGGAGAGCGCGGGAGCAGGAAAGTTGCAGGAGCGGCCGGCTCTGGCTCAGGACGAGAACCGAGGCAGCGCGGGACCGGAGAGGAGTCCAAATGGTCCTCAGGCTCCACTGGCCCCGGAGCTGAGCGCGGAGCGCGGGGCGGGACCCGGGAGAGGGGCTGGCGTGGAGTTCCTCCCGGGAAGGGAGCGGGAGAGGCGGCGGGTGGGGGAGGAGGCAGGAGTTGGCTCGCCTGGGAAGTTTGGGGATGAGGAGGGGACGGGGAGGAGGGGTCCCGCAGGCCCGGCGCACACGGGACCTCGACAGCGCTCCTCCCCGGCGGGGCCGTCCCCGGGGACCCGGCTCGCCTCCTCCGCGGCCGCGGCTCGGGCAGGGCCGGAGGGTCACTTACTTCGGGGCTGAAGCTGCTCTGGGCCGAACCGAGGGCGGCGAGCGCGGCGGCGAGCGCGAGCAGGGGGAGCAGCGGGCGGCGGGCGGGCCGGGCGGCGGGAGACATGGTCCGGGCAGTGGCGTGGGCTCCGCGGTGGGGCCGAGCCTGGGGGTCGCGCCGCCTCTGCCTCGGACCCTTTGTCCCCGGGAGGCACCGGGTGCGGGGTGTTGGAGGGCTGTCCGCCCGGAGGAGAGGCAGTGGTTCCCGAGGGCGCCCGTGCGCTCGTGGCCTCTCCTCCGCTTTCTGGTCTTCCTTCTGCTTAGTCGGCGGACTGGATGGCGAGCCCTCTCCTGCTCTCCGCTCTGGTCCCTCCCTTTATCCCACAGCCTCTCCTCCCGCCCACGCCCCAATGCCCTCCTTTCCCGGTGCGGACGTGGTTGTTTCAGCCCGAATCCAATTACAGCCAAGAGCCCGGTTAAAAAAAAAAAAAAAACAACAAAAAACCAAAAGAAGGAAAAACCAAACCTAAGTTGACTTTCTGCGGTGAAGGCTGCTATCTCCAGGGGCTGAGGCCGCAGCCGAGGGCAGGGAGCTGTGTGTGTGGCGGCGGGTGGGGGCGGGGGTCCTAAGGGCACCCGATGTGGGAGACTTTCTCCCCCCAGGCACATTTTGGATGGTGGATTCCTCCGGTGTTCAGCCTTTGCCGCACCTCAGAGGGGGGAGTTCTGGGAGAGAACTTGGGGCAAACAAGTTCAGAGTCTGGGGTCTTCCATGTCCGGAGACCTGGGTTAGGGGATTGTCTCTTGGGACCTGTGATTAAACCAAATTGAATCTTTGTCACTTATTCTTGACAATCACCTCTGTCCCTGTTGCAAACAAACAAACAAAAACAATATCAGCCCTAGCCAGTTTGCCTCGGTGGATGGATGGAGCAAAAGGCCTGTGGACTAAAGGGTCCCTGTTGGATTCTGGCCAAGGGCACGTGCCCCGGTTGCGAGCTCAATCCTCAGTAGGCAGCCAACCAATGATTCTCATCATTAATGTTTCTCTCTCCCTTTCTCTCTGAAATCAATAAAAAACAACCAACCAAACCACCACCACCAACAAAAAAACACACCAATATCAAAGCCCAACTACCCATCAACAAAGCCCACCACCACACTGAATGGGGGCAGAGGGGGTCCCATCCTTGCAGAAAAACAAATGTGCTCTCCTTATGCCATTTGCAATCTGGCTGATCCTTAAATTAGAGCTGGTTGGGAAGGAAAGGGGTGCAAGGCCATGGAATCCGGGAAAAGGCAAATCAAGTTTGGTGCAACTGTTAGAGATCGGAAGTTGGAACTTCAGGGTTTAATTCCATACCCTGGAAAAGGAGGCAGTTTATTCAAGGGTAAAATCTCCTTCAAGGACTGAGCAGTCTCTGAGAACAAAAGGTGGAGGTATGCAGGGAAGGGGGAGGGCAGGCTACAGCTGAGAAAGGGAGACAGATAAGAGGCTGAGAACTACATCTGGAAAGGCAGAACAACAAGCAGGAAAAGTGTGGGAGACAGAAAACTCAACCATCAGCGAAATCTAAGACCCAAGAATTACATTGGTCAGAGAGAGGGGAAGGGAAGGAGGTATTGGGGGCAAGAAGGGAGGGAAAGAAAGCAAGGGAAGGAGTAACTGGGAGGCTGGACAAAAATTAGGTCAGGTAAGAAACTCCAGAAGTCCAGGAACTAACACAAGTTTGTGATATGAAAATGGGGGGGGGGGGGGGGGGGGAGTCCAGTGTACTATATTGTAATGAGAGCAAAGGCCTTTTCTACACAGAATTCACGATCAATAAGATGTAAGTTTTGCCCAGCCAGTGTGGCTCAGCTGGTTGAGTTGTCCCATGCACCAACAAGTGGTCCCGGGTTTGATTCCCGGTCAGAGCACACGCCTGGTTTTCAGGCTTGATGTCCAATAGGGGGTGTACAGGAGGCAGCACATCGATGTTTCTCTCCCTAAAAATTAAAGGTTTCCCTGGGCCTTGGGGGACAGCTAAAGGTTTGTAGGAAGTATATGGGATATACCTAACCCACAATGACTGTTTTTGGGGTTATCTCCAGGGCTCCCTATGTAAATTGGGGCTAGGACAGTCCTCTCTCTCTAATCAATTTCTAAGATTCAATCAGAACCAAATCTTTAGAACATGCAACACCCAAGTATGGTTCTTCCCATGTCAGCCTTCCCACTACTGGGATCCTCTTGGGCCATGGATCTGGCTTAGGAAAACTGACACCAGCTGCTTGCCAAGAAATGCACTTCAGCTGGAAAGTTTTTCATAAAAATATTTATTAAATGTGTAACTGCATGCAGACTGAACTGTGTATAGGTTTTTCAAGGCTTGAATGGTGGCTAAGATGAGTAAACTTTGGCCCCCTTTTCATGTTTGCAGAGCAGTAACTGCTCAAAGTTGGGCCAGACCTACGACCTGCTAAGGTGCGGGTAAATATCCCAGAGCAAGATACCCCTGAACTGGAAGGGAGCCAGGGGGGAGGGCCTGTAGCCAGACCTTCCAGGCAGTGCTCTTACAACCCGTCTTTCCTGGAGTCCAACAACAACAACAGAGGCTGGGAAAAGAGAGAGGAGTTGCTTTTTATTGACGTGGCGGTGGGCTCTGCCGAGCAGCCCCTTTACGTTTAAGAGCGTTTTTCTTCTTCTGTTCTTCTTCCTGCACCTTCTGCTGCTGTTTGAGCTGCCATGCCTCTAATCCAGCATCCATTTCCTGTGACAGCAGTACAACTCGTCTCTGAAACAGACAGGAAAACAGTGTGAATAACATCTGGGGCTTGAGCTCTGCACCATATATCCTTTCATTCACAGATCAAAGTCAGAGGTTTCAGCTGGAAAATGACACCACTGACTGGGGAAGGGGTGGGGCCAGGTCCTGGGATGGGAAGCAGGGGGAAGACAGTAAATGTGTGGCAGTGTCTGCTCCTGGCTCCTGCCTTGGGAGTATCCCTGTATTCCTTCCTTCTCACAGTACTGTTAAAACCTTGCCTGTCAAAACAGTGTGGGGTGTACATGTTAGCTTAGGTGTCAACACAGCTCAAGACAAATTACAATTTAAACTCTGTCCCTCAGATTACATGCAGGTTGCCCTGGATGGGGCTGTAGCAACTCACTGCGAATTTCTCTCTTTGGGCTAGTCTTCGAAGCTGGCCTTTCATCGGAGGAGCAGGGCGGCCATCTGGAGATAGACATGAGAGAAAAGGCAAATGTTAGATATGGCCATCATATGGCAACAGCAGACAGAAAGGAGGGAAAAAAGTTTTTAGCTCTTCTTCCATTTCACACACACTGTAAAATACTTAATCTTCAAGGGTGAAGTATGCCAGAACCACCAAGAATAAGCTCCTGAGCTTTGCCCTATAGTATCTCACCCCTCATTAGCCTAGAATTCAAGGTTCTTTGCAATGCTGAATCACCTGTTTTATCTTCACAAAGCCCCCACTCAAGCAAACTGATCATTGTTCTACTCACCTCGAATCTTTGTTAAATTCCACCTAATCTTTGTTAAATTCCACCTAACTCCTTGACAACACCTCTTGCCTTTCCTTCCAGCCAAATTCTCATCCTTAGGCACACCTCAAGCCCTACCTGTCCCAGAAACCTTTCTTTAACCTCTTAAAACTCTCTTCAAAAAAGTGCATATCACAATTTACCATAGCTAAGATTTGGAAACGGCTTAAGTGCCAAGAAAGGGATTAAAAAACCATGGTACATCTACACAATGGAATACTATGCTGCTGTAAAAAAGAATGAACTCTTACCATTTGCAACAGCATGGATGGAACTGGAGAACATTATGCTAAGTGAAATAAGCCAGTCCGAGAAAGATAAATATACATGATCTCACTGAAACGTGTAATATAATGAGCAACACAAACTAATGAACCAAAATAGATCCAGAGACAGAAGCATTGAACTGTCAAACCTCAGAGGGAAGGTGGGGGTAGATCAATCAAAGGACTCCTATGCATGTATATAAGCATTACCAATGGACAAAGACACTGGGAGTGTGGGGGGGTGCAGTGAGGGCATGTGCTGGGGGATAGGAGTGGCAGGGGAGAGGTTAATGGGAGGAAAAAATTAATATTGTAATAGTTATGTACAGGCAGGGGGGGGTTACTTGAAATAATACCAGGGGTCCACTCTATAAAGGCAAATTGTGTTTCTTATCACAATAAAAAAGAGGGGGGAAAAGTGTATATCATTCATTTAATACTCATCTATTTGCCTTGTGACTTATGTACTGTTGTTTTTAACTTTATTTAGTCATCTCTAATTATTTTGGAAAGGAGCAGAGCACTGAAGTGTTATCACTTAATTTTTAAAATGTCCATGCTTTGGCTCAGTGGATAGAACATCAGCCTGTTGACTGAAAGGTCCCAGATTCAATTCTGGTCAAGGGCATGTAACTTGGTTTCCGGCACATCCCCAGTAGGGGGCGTGGAGGCAGCTGATCAATGTTTCTCTCTCCATGTTTCTTACTCTCTCTCCCTTCCTCTCTATAAAATATATATATATATATTTAAATGTCCATGCTTTGTTTTCCCAGCTAGACTTTAAGTTCCTTGGGATCAGGGACCATATTGCTAAACTTTCACTATAGTGTAATGTAGGCACATATGCACATAATAAAAATTTCATAAACATCTACATACTTGCTATAAACTATCTTAAATGGCTTATAATGGAGTTGAAAAGGGCATTTTCAACAAAGAAACAGAGTGAATTCTCTGCCCAAATGTTTGAAGGTAAAACAGGTAAGAGATATTATTTATCAATAAAGGGAACCAATGTTGTGTATGAGAGGTGTTTTCATCGGTCATTTTATTTTATCCTTACAAGAACCATATGAGATAGGTATTTTTTTTACAGACTCGGAAACTGAGAGATACAATTAAATAACTTGACCAAGACTCATAGTTAGCAAATAGAGAAGCCTAGATTAAAAATCAATTCCAGCCAGGCTGGTTTTGTTCAGTGGTTAGAGCGTTGGCCTGAGGACTGAAGGATTCGATTCCTGTCAAGGGCATATGCCTGGGATGTGGGCTCAGTCCCCAGTGGGAGGCATTCAGGAGGCAGCCAATTGATGATTCTCATCATTGGTGTTTCTGTCTCTCCTTCTTCCTTCCTCTCTGAAATAGATAAATAAAAACATATTTAAAAAATGAATCCCAGCCCTAGCCAGTTTGGCTCAATGGATACAGCATTGGCCCCCGCAGACTGAAAGGTCCTGGGTTTGATTCCAATTCTGGTCAAGGGAATGTACCTTGGTTGCAGGCTCAATCCCCAGCCCTGGTCTGGTATGTCCAGGAGGCAACCAATCTATGTATCT